GGTTCATGTCCTGGATCCTAGCAGCCAGTGGAAAGAGGTTTTTGTGTTTGTCTCGTCTCCTGATCGTCCACTGTTCCTCCCCTGCGGAGTCCTCTGTGTTTTTGGCTCTGTATGTGGGGAGGTTCAGTTTTTATCTCAATGAGCCTGGCTCCAAGGAGGAGACCAGTTTAAAGTCCTGCATCAAGTTCTGGTTCCATGTCCTGTCTCGGCTACCCTCTTCCACTGAGCCTGCTCATCTGCACCTGATACTGTCTGCTCCCGTGCGTGACCATCTGGTCACGCTTTCGGACCCTGTCAGACTCTGAACCCTCCTGGGAGCTCTTTGATGCCTGGAAGTCTGGATCCTGCAACCTGTTCTGTTCCTGTCTGATCTGGATCCTGTCCCTGTCTGTTCTGGATCCTGCAGTGTCCGCGGGCCACATCTCCACTTTAGTTTTTGTTTTATTTAATAAACTTTTTGAACTTTCATACTGACTGTCTCTCCTTGAATACTGGGTCCATTTGTCCTCGGTTCATGACAGAATGATCTGGCCGCCAGGATCCAGGACATGAACCATGAAATAAAACTGAACAGACAGACTGACAGAAAACAAATAATGATCTGGCACCGAATGCTCAGGCTGATTATAACCAAGGTGAAACAGGTGAGAGGAATAAATTATAATTGAGGCAGGGAGGGAAAACGACAGGTGAAAGGAATTACTAATTAAGGGAGAGCAAACAGGCCAGATCATGACAATAGAAATGATTAATGATGAAATAAAACCACTTTTTATAATATGTGACATTAATTGTTGGTCTTATTTGACAATGACAGGATTGCTTGACAAGCAAAGAACCATAACTGGTAAGTAGGATGATTCTTTCCTTTTGTTCTAAAACATAAAACAGCATATTAAGTTCAATACTGTATGCGGGTGATAATTTTATTTCATTATCACCAGAAATCCCACAAAATAATATTGGATTGGGAGAGATAAAGTTTATATATATATATATATATATTTTTTTAGACAATTCTGTTATTTATTTATGTTGCTAGCTGACATCTATATTTTGATGCATAAACTATAGATATATAAACAGATGTAAAGAAATCCTGTTGTCTACAAGAGTAAGATTAAATTCATAAATAATGCTGCACATCAAGAATCAATAATCGATCGGAACAGTTCTAACAGTTAAATTTTCCAGAATCGTTCAGAGTTTTTATTAACCATTCCTAACTGGGCTGTTCCATTCCACTAATGATATCTTAGATCGATTTCAGTGAAAAAAGGAATATCAGAATATATCTGTGTGCCTCTAAATTATCTGATATTAGAAAACTCAGTAGAACTTTGCCTATGTTCTTTTTTTTGTTTATATCACTCTTTGGTGAATCAGAAATGGGTCTGTTGTTCTCATACCTGATTTTGTTAAGTATTTTTCTCCGTTTGAGAAGTATTACTTGATCTAAAGTTTTCTATCAGTCCACTCTTAATAAGCATTAAAAATATGTATGATTAATGCTGATATAGTATCAGATCATCGTTGGTGTAGTGTTTCCATTTCTGCCGTATGTCAAGCTTTAAAAGTTTATATTTGGTCATACTTATTAATTAATTAGCATAATGATTGATTAATCACCCAGTATTAGAAATGGCTTTAATTTTCCATGTTGGAAATATACTACAAATGGCATTAAAGGGCAAGAACCATTGCGGTCTGATCCCTGGAAGCCACCTCTCTGGAGGGGAAAGCACCTGAGCTGGTGTGGGAGGTTAATAGTTTCCGGCAAAAAGAGGAACAAGATCTTCTTCTAGAGGAAGAAGATAAAATTCATAAATGTCACCTTAAATGGTAAATGGTAAAATGGTAAATGGCATGTACTTATATAGCGCCTTTATTCAAGTTAGGAGACTTGACCGAGGCGCTTTACACTACATTCATTCACCCATTCACACACACACTCACACACTGATAAGTCCTCTTAAGAACATTTTCACTTCATCCTTTGTCAACATTATTTTCTCCATACTCCATTTTTGATAAAAGAACCGTCAGCACTTGAATCAGAAAGTTTCTTTCAGATAAAACAACAGATGCAAAAATATGGATTCTACATGTTTCTCCTCTAAGCAGAGTACTTATTTAGCATCTCACAAAAAGAGGGGAAAAGGGGTTTACTGTGTCCATTCGGTGGAAAGGAAGGGGATCTGGCCGGCTCGGTTTGGTTTGGACCGGTTAAGTCCTACTCGTAAAGGAGGGGAAGCAGTCTGGCTCGATTCTGCTTAGGAATATGATCTGCTCACCCAACAGGAGGCTCTCAGAGAGACTTGAATTATTCTGATGCAAAACACAGAGGCAGATCTGCCAGGTTTAATTTGATCATTTACAGCGGCTTGAAAACGGAGGAGGTGGATAGATGTGTAGCAGCAGCTCAGACAGCAGAAGCGCAGCTCCTAACAGCGGCCGAACCAGGGGATCACAGTTTGGAGGCTTCATAGTGGCTTCTTGGGGAGCAGCAAATGGGCCCAGGCTTTTCCGGGGCAGCAAACAAAATTTGGCCAGGCAGTAACTTGGTATCTCCCTAATCTGCTTCAGCAGGCAGATGAAAAACACTGAGTTCAACTTGGTTTGAAAGGCAGGAAGAGTCTAGGGGGAGTCAGGGGTGAGTCGGTCTCGCTTACGTCATTGACATGTTATCTTCAAGACATCTAAAGCACTTTGAATTGTCTTTGTACTTAATTGTGCTATACAAATAAACTTGTCATGCAAAGGAGAATGTCTTGTTTAGGAAAAAAAGACTCCTAAACTCACAGGACCATTTCAGAACTTCAATCATAACCAATTTCAGTAGCATTTTGAGGCACTTTATCATCTCATCTTAAATCCATTGTTTTTCCCATTTCTTTGATTGATTATACTCTCAATGGAAGCACAATGTGAGACATCTAATAGTTAGTTTTATGATCACTGCTTCAAAATGTATAATTATTAACAATCAGCTCGAATATACATCAGGAGATTAAATTAGATGATTATTTAGATGGTGATTTAGAAATGTAGTTTGTAATTAATAAAGTTAATTTGCTAAACACCAGATATTTAAGACTTTGCATCAATTAGCAGATGATCTTTGGCAGTTTAAGCTAAAAACTCAACTGAATCGTCTTCATTTGAATGATTTGTTGTAGTTATTTATTGTTCATCAGAACTTTTAAATGTTAGAAAAGTGTAAAAAATCTGGTTTCCTTCTGTTCTGTAGATCAGCAGATATGATAGAAAGCGTTAAACATTACAGCTGCTCAGAAACAGAAAAAGTTCACTTGAAGGACTAAAAATGTTCTTGTTTTTCATTCACAGCTGATCTGATCTATGGAAAAGTTGGTGGCTCCATTGTTCTGAATCCAGGTCAGATTTCAGAGCCTATTGAGACAGTAAAATGGAGGCACAAAGTGGACCTCACCTCAAAGGGTACTTGGCAGGATATTCAAAGTGACGGACAATTAAAAGGTGAGTTGGCTTGAAAACCTAAGAACCTGCAGGTTAACATCATCCATGATGTCTTTATCTGGATCCTGCTTCCAGGTCGCTGGGACTTTGATGAAACAAGTGGAAGTTTGACCATCAACAGTCTGACTCTAGAGGACAGCGGCAGCTACATAGTTGAAATCAACAACAAAGTTCTGGAGAAGAAGGAACTCCAGGTTATCAGTGAGTTCAGCAGGTTTGACTGAGGTTTGTTAGGTTTGAACCTGAATCAAGTTGAGATAATCTGTTCCTGTTTCTGTCAGAACCGGTCCCAAAACCCACAGTTTCCATGAAGTACAACCATGAGAAGGATGCCTGGAGTCTCACCTGTGAAGCCCAAGTCACTGCTGACTTTGGACCTGTGACGTATAAATGGAAAACAGGTGACACAGAGTTGTCCACCGACAAGGAGCTGCTGATAACAACGGTATGAGGATGAGAAACCCTGGAAGAACTCAGTAGAACCTTCATGGTTTGGTTTAGAGCTGTTTTCTATTTATTTCTCAGGAGAATAAGGAAAGCTCCTTTTTCTGTGAGTTGGTAAACCCTGTCAGCTCCAGTAAAACAGAGGAAATACCCTTTATCAGAGGTGAGAGGAAAACATTCCCATCTATTCTTTATCTTTTCCAACTTCAGCTATTGGAGAACAATGAGTTTTAGAAAAATAAATAAAAAAACTCTTCAAATTCCATTAAAATTATTCTTCTATACTTTTCATAAAATAAAACATTATTAATTAACCTTGGATGTGAAATATTTGGACCCAAAAAAGATGCTTGTCTAAAAGAGTTCAGTGGTTTCACAATTTTTCAGAAAATATTTATGAAGGTCTGACCTTAGCTAATGAGTTTGAAAAAAAAGTCAGAGACTTTCATAGTTTAACAAACTTTTAGAAAATATGTATGTATATTTAAGCATTTTACAATGGTTAAAAAAAATATTCACTTTACTATATTCACTTTAATTTCACTTTACGTCAAAAGTGTCACACGCAGAGGGACACTTTTATGAGAACATCTTAATGATCCAGAAAAGTTCTTGGAAAACATGAACTATTAGATTTCTGATGAATTTCAGGAAAGTCAACCCAAAAACTCCTTATATCTTCTATTTGAAGACGTGAATCAGCTGGAATATACTCCAGGTGGTTGAATAAGATGATTATTTAGGTTTAAAATGTTGTTTTGAAAGAATAAAGTTATTGAATTTGCTGAACACCAGATATTTAAGACTTTGCATCAATCAGCAGATGATCTTTGGTAGTTTAAGCTAAAAACTCTCCTCCATCGCCTTCATTTGAGTTTTTTGATGCAGAGATTTATTGTTCATCAGAACTTTTAAATGTTGGGAAAGTGAATAAACTTCCTGTTTTCTTCTGTTCTGTAGATCAGCAGATATAACAGAAAGGGTTAAACATTACAGCTGCTCAGAAACAGAAAAAGTTCAGATGAAGGAGTAAAAATGTTCTTGTTTTTCATTCACAGCTGATCTGATCTATGGAAAAGTTGGTGGCTCCATTGTTCTGAATCCAGGTCAGATTTCAGAGCCTATTGAGGCAGTAATATGGAGGCACAAAGTGGACCTCACCTCAAAGGGTTCTTGGCAGGATATTCAAAGTGACGGAGCTTTTAAAGGTAAGTTGACTTTAAAACCTGAGAACCTGCAGATTAACATCATCCATGATGTATTTATCTGGATCCTGCTTCCAGGTCGCTGTGACTTTGATAAAACAAGTGGAAGTTTGACCATCAACAGTCTGACTCTAGAGGACAGCGGCAGCTACACAGTTGAGATCAACAATAAAGTTCTGGAGAAGAAGGAACTCCAGGTTATCAGTGAGTTCAGCAGGTTTGACTGAGGTTTGTTAGGTTTGAACCTGAATCAAGTTGAGATAATCTATTCCTGTTTTTGTCAGAACCGGTCCCAAAACCCACAGTGTCCATAAAGTACAACCATGAGAAGGATGTCTGGAGTCTCACCTGTGAAGCCCAAGTCACTGCTGACTTTGGACCTGTGACGTATAAATGGAAAACAGTTGACACAGAGTTGTCCACCAACAAGGAGCTGCTGATAACAACGGTATGAGGATGAGAAACCCTGGAAGAACTCAGTAGAACCTTCATGGTTTGGTTTAGAGCTGTTTTCTATTTATTTCTCAGGAGAATAAGGAAAGCTCCTTTTTCTGTGAGTTGGTAAACCCTGTCAGCAGCAGCTCCAGTGAAACAGTGGAAAACCCCTTTATCAGAGGTGGGAGTAAAAACATTCCCATCTATTCTTTATCTTTCGACCTTCAGCTATTGAAGAAACATGACTTTCAGGAAGTGAATAAAAGAAAAACTCTTCAAATTCCATCAAATTATTCTTGTATACTTTTGAGAAAATAAAACATTAATGTATATTGGATGTGAAACATTTTGACCCAAAAAAGATGCTTGTCTAAAAGAATTCAGTGCTTTCACAATTTTTCAGAAAATATTTATGGAAGTTTGACCTTAGCTAATGAGTTTAAAAAAAAAAAAAGTGAAATTGTTAAAATTTATGTTCAGAGTGTCAAAAGCAGAGTGACACTTGTATTAGAACATCTTAAAGATCCAGAAAAGCTTTTGGAAAACATGAATTAATAGATTTCTGATAAATTTCAGGAAAATTGATCATGACACTTCTTTCATCCTATTTGAAGCTGTGTATCAGCTGGAATATACTGCAGGTGGTTGAATAAGATGATTATGAATTTGCATCAATCGGCAGATGATCTTTGGTAGTTTAAGCTAAAAACTCTCCTCCATCGCCTTCATTTGAGCTTTTTGATGCAGAGATTTATTGTTTATCAGGAATTTTAAATATTAGAAAAGTGAAAGGATTATTGTTTCCTTCTGTTATATAGATCAGCAGATATGATAGAAAGGGTTAAACATTACAGCTGCTGAGAAACAGAAAAAGTTCACATAAAGGAGTAAAAATGTTCTTGTTTTTCATTCACAGCTGATCTGATCTATGCAAAAGTTGGTGGCTCCATTGTTCTGAATCCAGGTCAGATTTCAGAGCCTATTAAGAAAGTAAAATGGAGGTACAAATCAAACTCTGGCTGGAAGATATACCAGAAGATCATTGATCTGAAAAGGTTCCAAGGTCAGTTGACTTGTTCACCAGAACGTGTTTTAAAACCCAATAACCTGCAGATTAACATCATCCATGATGTCTTTATCTGGATCCTGCTTCCAGGTCGCTGTGACTTTGATAAAACAAGTGGAAGTTTGACCATCAACAGTCTGACTCTAGAGGACAGCGGCAGCTACATAGTTGAGATCAACAACAAAGTTCTGGAGAAGAAGGAACTCCGGGTTATCAGTGAGTCTCTCAGAGATGAGAGGAAAACATTCCCATCTGCATATGCTTTATTTATGTTTTTCACCTTCAGTCAAAAAAACATCAACTCCATAGATTGGGATTATCTGATATACAGAGAAGTTAACATGTTTTTACCTCCTAAAACATTTATTTTTCTGAATTTTTTTTTCATCCCACCTATATTTATCAGATCATTAAATAAATGTAAAATATCAGACAAACAGAATCTGAATAAAGACAGATCTAGACTTTAACTAGGCCACTCTAATACCTTTACTGATTTTTTTTTTCATTTCATCATTCAGAGGTGAACTTCCTGGTGTCCTTTACTACATCTTCCTGCTGCAGAAACCAAGGCAGTTAAGGTTTAAGGCTTCAAGCTGATGGCTGGATGTTTTCCTTTAGGGATTAACTGTAGAGAGCACAATTCATCTTTGGAAAACGTTTTAATGACATTAAAATTATTTTGGTATAATTTTAGTAAAACACAGCATTTTCATTTCATATAAGATGTGAAATATTTGGACTCAAAATAATAAGGTATTTAAAGAAGTACTTTGATTTCACAAACTTTGAAGAAATGTTTATGTTGGATTGATCATTTACAAAAGTTAAGAACATTTTCTTTCAAATAATTGAAATATATGTTAAGAAAAATGAAAAAAGCAGAGGAACACTTTTATGAGTACGTCTTAGTGAACCAGAAAAGTTCTTGGAAAACATGAACTATTAGGTTTCTGATGAATTTCAACAAAGTCGACCCAAAAACTCCTTATATCCTATTTGAAGCCATGAATCAGCTGGAATATACTCCAGGTGGTTGAATAAGATGATTATTTAGGTTCAAAATGTTGTTTTGAATTAATGAATAAAGTTATTGAATTAGCTGAAAACCAGATATTTCAGACTTTGCATCAATCAGCAGATGATCTTTGGTAGTTTAAGCTAAAAACTCTCCTCCATTGCCTTCAGTTGAGCTTTTTGATGCAGAGATTTATTGTTCATCAGAACTTTGAAATATTAGAAGAGTGAAAGGATTCTTGTTTCCTTCTGTTCTGTAGATCAGCAAACATGATAGAAAGGGTTAAACATTACAGCTGCTCAGAAACAGAAAAAGTTCACATGAAGGAGTAAAAATGTTCTTGTTTTTCATTCACAGCTGATCTGATCTATGGAAAAGTTGGTGGCTCCATTGTTCTGAATCCAGGTCAGATTTCAGAGACCATCAAGACAATAAAATGGAGGTACAAATTAAACTCTGCTCGGATGGGATTTTGGAAGGACATTGATAGTAAAAGTTTCCAAGGTCAGTTGACTTGTTGACCAGAATGTGATTTATAACCCAATAACCTGCAGATTAACATCATCCATGATGTCTTTATCTGGATCCTGCTTCCAGGTCGCTGTGACTTTGATAAAACAAGTGGAAGTTTGACCATCAACAGTCTGACTCTAGAGGACAGCGGCAGGTACAAACTTGAGATCAACAACAAAGTTCTGGAGAAGAAGGAACTCCGGGTTATCAGTGAGTCTCTCAGAGATGAGAGGAAAACATTGCCATCTACTCATGCTTTATTTATGTTTTTCACCTTCAGTCAAAAAAACAACTTTAGTTTGGTATTATCTGATATACAGAGAAGTTAACATGTTTTTACCTCCTAAAACATTTATTTTTCTGTACTTTTTTCATCCCACTTATATTTTTCAGATCATCAAAAAAATGTAAAATATCAGACAAACAGAACCCGAATAAAAAAAGGTCTAGACTTTAACTAGGCCACTCCAATACCTTTACTGATTTATTTCATCATTTAGAGGTGAACTTCCTGGTGTCCTTTACTACGTCCTCCTGCTGCAGAAACCAGAGCAGTTCAGGTTTAAGGCTTCAAGCTGATGTCTGGATGTTGTCCTTTAGGGATTAACTGTAGAGAGCACAATTCATCTTTGGAAAACTTTTTAAATAACATTACAATTGTTTTAGTAAAATTTTAGTAAAACACAGCATTTTCATTTCGTATTAGATGTGAAATATTTGGACTCAAAATAAGAAGGTATTTAAAGAAATACTTTGATTTCACAAACTTTGAAGAAAGGTTTATGTTGGATTGATCATTTACAAAAGTTTAGAACATTTTCTTTCAAATAATTGAAATATATGTTAAGAAAAATGACAAAAGCAGAACAACACTTTTATGAGAACATCTTAGTGAACCAGAATAGCTCTTGGAAAACATGAACTATTAGATTTCTGATGAAGTTCAAGAAAGTCGACCCAAAACCTCCTTATATCCAATTTGAAGCCGTTAATCAGCTGGAATATACTCCAGGTGGTTGAATAAGATGATTATTTAGGTTCAAAATGTTGTTTTGAGTTAATGAATAAAATTATTGAATTTGCTGAAAACCAGATATTTTAGACTTTGCATCAATCAGCAGATGAACTTTGGTAGTTTAAGCTAAAAACTCTCCTCCATCGCCTTCACGTGAGCTCTTTGGTGCAGAGATTTATTGTTCATCAGAACTTTTAAATGTTTGGAAAGTGAATAAACTTCCTTTTTCCTTCTGTTGTGTAGATCAGCAGATATTATAGAAAGGGTTAAACATTACAGCTGCTGAGAAACAGAAAAAGTTCACATGAAGGAGTAAAAATGTTCTTGTTTTTCATTCATAGCTGATCTGATCTATGGAAAAGATGGTGGCTCCATTGTTCTGAAACCAGGTCAGATTTCAGAGCCTATTGAGAAAGTGAAATGGAGGTACAAATCAAACTCTCGCTGGTGGCCATTGTGGCAGGACATTGATAGTAAAAGTTTCCAAGGTCAGTTGACTTGTTGACCAGAAAGTGTTTTAAAACCCAAGAACCTGCAGATTAACATCATCCATGATGTCTTTATCTGGATCCTGCTTCCAGGTCGCTGTGACTTTGATAAAACAAGTGGAAGTTTGACCATCAACAGTCTGACTCTAGAGGACAGCATGATCTACACACCTGAGATTAAAAACAAAGTTCTGGAGATTAAGAAACTCCAGGTTATCAGTGAGTTCAGCAGGTCTGACTGAGGTTTGTTAGGTTTTAACCTGAATCAAGTTGAGATAATCTGTTCCTGTTTCTGTCAGAACCGGTCCCAAAACCCACAGTGTCCATAAAGTACAATGATGAGAAGGATGCCTGTAGTCTCACCTGTGAAGCCCAAGTCACTGCTGACTTTGGACCTGTGACGTATAAATGGAAAACAGGTGACACAGAGTTGTCCACCGACAAGGAGCTGCTGATAACAACGGTATGAGGATGAGAAACCCTGGAAGAACTCAGTAGAACCTTCATGGTTTGGTTTAGAGCTGTTTTCTATTTATTTCTCAGGAGAATAAGGAAAGCTCCTTTTTCTGTGAGTTGGTAAACCCTTTCAGCAGCAGCTCCAGTGAAACAGTGGAAAACCCCTTTATCAGAGGTGAGAGGAAAACATTCCCATCTATTCTTTATCTTTTTCCACCTTCAGCTATTGAAGAAACACTTCATACTGGGATTATCTTCTATACAGTCCTGATCTGATAAAAAGTTTTTAGATACTGACCGATTTATTTCTTGTAGTAATTGAATGTAAAAGGACAAACAGAACCTGAATAATAGTCAAAACAGTTTTAACTGATTGTGTTAATCAAGTAAATAAACCATTTCAAATCAACCTGCCTATGTTATAAAGTAATCACTCCCTAAACCTAAAACATTTTTCCATTGTGGCTGCAAAACCTACTGATAGCTGTCAGTGAGTCTTTAGCATCACTGTTGAGGACAGAGCTGTCTGGATTCAGACATGTTGGAGTGAAAAACCCGTTTAAGATCATAGAACAGAATCTTAATTGGGTTTAGATGAAGACTTTGACTAGGCTGCTCAAACAATTTTACTGCATTTCATTGAGTGATTCAGAGTAGGGGTGGGTGATATGGTAAAAATGTTGAAAATAATTTGCATGTCTCTGTTCAGAATAACCAAACCATTTCTCTAATTAAAACCGTTCAAAAAAAGGGGGAAAACATGCAGTTTAGCCCAAATAACCTATGTAAACTACTTTTAATTTCAATAGAAGCAGTCATGCCAACACCTACAAAAACCATAAACATGCACCATGGCCCTATTATGTGGAATGGCAGTATTGGAGTATTTTTTGGCCATGCAGCTCATCCTACAAGTCATCTACTTTAAACAGGCGTTTAAACTCCTTGTTTAGCTCTCCTGAATTGAACCATATGTCTTGAAAGATAAAAGGAAACTGCTTCTGTGACCTCTTTCCCCTCCTTGCTTGTCTTGCCATACACAGTGCCTTTATCAATCTATCTTGTGTTAAAGGAATAGTACACCCAAAACATGATTAGCCTTCATTTTCTACTCACCCCCATGCTGAACAACACCCTGGAGTACTTTTTTGATATCTCAAATGCATCTGGAGATCTGGAAGGCTTCTTGCTGTCTGCTGACATTCAAATAATGGAGGTCTATGGTGCCCGAGACAAAAAGGTCCATAAAAGTCCCAAAAAAACGTGTCAATATTCCTCCATACTGCTCGTCCAATGTATTCCAAGTGTCCTGAGTGGGTAGCGTCCATAATTTACTCGAAACAAAGTCATTTAGAATGTTTTTAGAGCATAAACAGTAGTGTATAGGATTTCCTAAAAGCGCGTTCACGAGTCTACGGAAACCGCGGCAGACCAAACCAGACGAAAGTGCGCATTCAGCGTCTGCTCTGCCGATAATGCAAGCGTAGAAGAAGAAATGTGCTGTTTACCTGTGCAAAGAAAGAATCAACGAAAGAAAAATGTCTGAGGACTTCAGTGTTGAGGAAGAGCATGAGTTATTTGCCGAGCTGAATGCGCACTTTCATCTGGTTTGGTCTGCCGCGGTTTCTGTAGACTCGTGAACTCGCAGGCGCACGCTTTTAGGAAATCCTATACACTACTGTTTATGCTCTAAAAACATTCGAAATGACTTCGTTTCGAGTAAATT